CTCGGTCTGGGAACGATTTAAACTCGTACTGCGAGGTTCTACTGTATATTCAAAACATAATTTTCTTTCTTTTTTTTTGAAATCATTAACAAAATTAAAAAAATACTTCCTAGCATTAAAGATAAAAAAAGACATTTTAGGTTAAAAATGGTTATATCAAATTAGATGTGAATGCAACTAAAATATATTGGACAAACTAAACATAACTTGAAATATTGCCTTTAAAGAACATTGAGGTTATTTACGTAATTGAATATTAGAGAATCAGTAGAAATTTTGTGCTGTAAATTAAATAATTCTTTGTTGAATATAGATGAAGGGTTAGCTGGTGGTAATGCACAGTTCTGGAAAGAAATATTGACTTCCAATGTATAATACTCATACCACCCTCACAGCTTACAGTGAGTTAAACCTTTTCTCTATAAAATTTCCAGTTTGTCATGTAGGTTTTTACTACTGAAACACGTAGTCTTTTAAATTTATCCATCGTCCCAATAAAATTTTATTGTGCATTTTAAATTTTGTCTTATTTTCAATCTTAAAATTTATTGCACAAGTTGCCTTAATTGAATCTTCATGGTTATATTTGTCACATTAAATGATCAAGATCAGATCTAAAAGAATCCCAAATGACAGTATGATTTTCAGTCCATCCGAATGTCATTATTAATACTTGTATTGCACAAGTTGCCTTAACTGAATCTTTGTGGTTACATTTGTCACATTAAATGATCAAGATCAGATCTAAAAGAATCCCAAATGACAGTATGATTTTCAGTCCATCTGAATGCCATCTTTAATACTTGTATATCTAACTAAATAATACAATTTAAAATTATGAGTAAACATTATGTTATGAAGTAAAGTATTCCATATAATGTAATATACAGACACCAAGGAATGATCTGGTTCTTCAAGGATATTTTCGTACACACACACACATACACACTCATGAAAGAAAACTTAAACCCACCCTTAATGGCAACTCATTCCATGAGCCAGTCACTATTACAAAAATAAAATTTCATTGGAGCCTAGCATGCCTTTTCCAAATCTTAAACTTTTGTCTCCTTGAAATATTGTCTTCAGAATATTCTAAAAAACAAAAAAACACGTGTTTAACTCTTTCAGCATGGGCTCAGACCTTGGGACCGACCTTGTAACCATTTTGTGTTTGTTATAGTTTTCATGCTATAACTTTTAAATTAGAAAGCGAATGTTAGTGAAATTTGGCAGATTATCAGTAAACATTACACTGCTTTCATATGCAAAATATAATTTTTTTTTATTAAGTTTTAAGGTTTGTAAAGCAATGTTTTCTCATGCCTTTTTTTCTTTTCATGTTGCCTATCTATCATGCAAAGTAATTTTCATTTTAAAATTGAAAATACTTTTATACATCAGAAAAGTTTTAAATTTAACATGCAAAATCTTTATAATGTACAGATAGTTATCAAACATTTCTTAAGAAAAACTTTGTATTTTATCTGTTATTTTCAATAATTAGCCTCTGTATGGTTTCGTTAGATTTAGCTGATCTCACAACCACCATAAAAAATGGAGAATAAATATATATATTATGCCTCTTTCATTCTAGAATGAACACAAATTATAACACGAAAACATAAATGTTTAGACGAAATAGCTTAAATCTCATAACATTATACATTTATATATATATATATTCTTTTATTATATTGACCTTTCAGCCATGCCTGGCTAACAATAGGGAAGTTACAGTGACACGTTCATGTGCACTCATGTTACCGTGTCAAATAACATTAAACTGAACTTTGGTCTGTACAAAGTAACTTGTCTTGGATATGTTTTAGTAGACTAGTATTTTGTAAAATACAGTCACATTTCAGTTATTATACATCATATATGTATATAGATTATTGCTATTTTGAAATAAGTTCTTAAACTTATTTTTTTCAAACATAGAACAGTAAATAAAGAAGTAAAGCAAACAATTAACTCTTATAGTTACGACCTTTGTACTCAGTTGCTGCTTGATGCAGGTTGCAAAGCCTTTAAAAATTTTGGATGTGGAGGGTATGAAACAAAATAATTTTTTTAGGTTTTATGTGTACATTTGAATAACCAAAAAATCATAAATTACTACATCAATACCATAGAATTCTACTATAATTTATCAAGCTTAGTAACTAAAATTTACTTTAGTCTAAAAAAAATATGAAATTTTGAGCAGACTAAAGATGCACCCTACCTTCTTGAAATCTTGGTTCAAAAGAAAGAATTGGCATCCTAAGAATTTAAAATGGCTGAGAAAGCCACTAGGGGGACATTCTGAGCTTCCAATTGGTTATTCATGTCATATACAGAAGTAAGTGTGTATAAGGGAGCATTTCCAAAAATGGAAAGAGGTGGGTGGGGTGTCACTGTGTTTAATTTATTACATGAGCAATGTCTTAGGAAATAGAAAAGATAAGACCGTCTTATTTTATATTATAGCTTGTCAATATCAGTAATTTGAGTTTCTAATTCATACAAAACTATAGACTTAGCATTTGGACTTCACAAACATCTAATTTGAACCAGTAATGCATTCAACATACCGCATGACACACAAAAATCGATGTTTATCTGTGTTTTTTAATATTTACTTTTAAATTAAGAAATTGAGTAATGTATAGTACTAAAATTTAAATTATAATCTACAGTTTGATACTAAACTTATTGACATAAAGTCATGAAATAGTAGTTCAATAAAATTTTGAATGTGAGTCAACAAATGAGATAACATGGCATTTCACTCGTGACCCGTCTATAAAAGGTTAATATTTCATTACTTATCTGAAACTTGAAATTGATGAACTATGAAAAAGATCAAAGATCAGAATACCCTTTTTTTTCATGGTAGTATAAATTTCCAAACTTGGATTCAAACATTTATCCTAATGACTTTCTATATATTCTTGTAAACTTCAATAAGATCACCTGTTACCCATCTTTTGTCAAGAGAAAATAAGGTAAGAGATCTTGAAATATACTCATAAGATTACCTTTCCATCCCCAGAATCATCCAAGTAGTTCTTTCCCGAACTCTTTCCAATAAGTCAGTATCCTTTATTAGATAAGTATATCAAAACATATTTTTGTATCTCTGATTTACTTTTGTTAAATATGCACCCATGAGAAAAACTTAAACCCACCCTGTATTTTTCAAGAATTTATCAATTCTTTTTTTTTAAAACTCTTGTAAAGTGCCAGCCTACCCTGATGCTGATGGTAACTCATTCCCTAAACCAATTACCCAATGTGGAAATTGCCATGTGCAATTACAAATTAAATTAACACTACCATGCTAAAAGCATGAGACTTTAAGATGTGACATGATCCATCCAGCATGTTAATCAAGGAAAATCATTAAGTATAAATGCAGAGACAAACCATATTAGAACTTGGAAGTGTTTACAATATACAAAAATACCTTGAATTATATTAATTTGATAGAGGAGAGCTTATAGGCTGTGGAATATGAAAAGTTGGAAGTGATTTAGAATCAGTGTTTTGTTACACACAATTTATTGTGCATGAGACAATTCAGTGGTATAAATAACTTGATAGAAAAACATCTAAAAAATGTTTACGTTCACTGAAAGTGTTATCAAAGTATTATAAACATTCATTTGTAAAAATTGTTTCTGCAACAAATCTGTAGTGGCTATACTACACTCAGTGCAGCAGTATGGGTGCTCTCTGTGGGTACTTGGAAGAGGCTAGGATGTGTAAACCTCCAATTACCTTTAAGAATGCTTGGCATTGTTTTGCATGGTGTAAATCCCATCAACAATGGAATCATTAGATATGGTTGTTTCTATTGTGGAATAATAAGATCTGCTTTTGTTAAGTTTCAGAGTGATTGCTCATTATGGGTTTGTAAGCAGTAAAGAAACATACAGAAACATGTTTATTGGTGTTGTGTGAGATTCACCTCTACATTTGTGTAACGTCTGTGAGGCTAAATCTTTATAGATAACAAGAGATCATTATGGAGTTGTGTCAAAACTTGTTAGTCAACAGTCTAATGTATTGTTTTTTTTAGGGTAATTCCTTCTGCTACATACTTACATAACCCATGTCTGGTATCACAGTAACATTTTCAGTTTCTTAGAATGGCTAACCCAGAGCCCAGATTTAACCCTATACAACATCTTTGGACCATCTGAAGGTGTTATTTTCAAATATTAGATTGCAGTGAGTGTTCTGGTTGTCACAAGTTTCATAAATGTTTTGAAACAGTGATAGAGAAAACTGTTGGAAGTTAGTTGAAAGACTGCCTTGTAGAATACATGTAGCAGCAGTTATTTAGGCCAAGGATGGTGTCACATTTTGATGATGTTTAGTTAAAGTGTGATTTGTATTCACAACAAAAAGTATTATCAGACAACTTTTTTGTAATAATAAAATAAGAATGTTTTCTTTTGTAAATGGTCAGTTACATTAAATTTGCTTTAAAATACTCCCCCCTTCCCCAAAAAGTATATAAGCCACCACTGTGCATTGTATGCTTATAGCTATGGAACATTTTCTAACTAGTGCATAGTATTAAGCATAAATGCTAAAACTGTTTAACAATTTAGGCTATTTGAAAATTTTTTAACTAGATGTAATTGTTATTTTTTGTTAATTGTATTAGTTTTTTTTTATAAGTTTAAATGCATAAAATGATATCATTGTTTTTCAGCCATTTTCCTGTCTCCCATATGGTGACAAATCTTACCACCTGGTTGTCACACTATCTAGTATGGCCAATCCTGTAGCTTGCTTTATAGCAATGTTTTGTAAAATCCAGTGTCTGAAAGGTGTGTCTCTACTCTCTGTAATGGGAACAGTAGTATCTTGCTATGTTATGGCAACAGCTGTACTTAGTCCAGAACCTCCACTGATGAACTCAGTGAGTGGAGAACTGTTAGTGGTATGTATTATCTTAATAACTTAAAATTATTCTTTCATTCTCATTTATGTATTTTATTTTATATGATCATAATATGTTATAGAATTACTACCTAATATTATATTCATCCAAATAAAATTAAAACAAACCCAATAAAGCCACAGAACTTTAGAAAGATGAACCTGCCTTCTTCAGGTAAAAGCAATAGAGCAGTGTTCGGCAACCCTTCAAAAAAAAAAAAAGAGCCTTTTTTTTGTTTTGTCTAAGACCAAAACATTTTGAGAGCTGCAATAGGCCATAATGGTCTAACCTAAAAAAAGTCCCCCGGTGGGACAGTGGTAAGTCTTCTGATTTACAACTCTAAGTATTGAGATTAAATTTTTAACACCCATTGTGCTTGAAAGATTTTCAACTTTTCTTCACAGTAAGAGGAAAGTCTGAGAGCTGCAAAAATCTCCTTAAAGAACCTCAGGTTGCCGACCCCAGCACAAGAGTTTTATCATACTTTTTTAACCAATGGAGCTGGACTCAATCAATTTGAACAGTCTTGTAATCACCATATAACCATGCAAATATACATACCAGAACGCTGAATGTATTAAGTGTATATTCACAAAATTGGGCAAGCTGTTCAAGTATTTAATATGTATGGGGTTTTGAGTCCATTTTACTTCACCTTATAGTAACCTAAATTAATTTAGTTGTGTGAATAATGCTATGTCATTTTGCTGAATTCGTTATTCAGTATTTTACAACGGACCAACTGTGTTTGTGTGTGTATATGTGTATATATATATATATTAAAGATTTCATATATAGATAAAGTACAGATATTTCATACACAAAAAATCAGTGGATTCTGACAGATCAGTGGAATGTACCCTGTAATTTACTGTCTTCCAGGGCTGGCGCAACCATTAGGTGAACTTGATGGTTGCCTAGGGCACCAAAATTTAGGGGTGCACAAAATTAGTAAACTATAAAATTAAATTTTAGTAATCAGTAACACCATTTTAACTTTATTATAGACTGAATATTATGCAGGCTGCTAGGCCGGGAGCACTCCACAAAATGTCAAAAATATTTACTCATTTTTAGTATATGTATTTCAATACAACACCTTTTAATACATAAATATCTGTGATGCAACTTTCTTCCAACCAAAACTATTAAGCTATTAAAGGTTGAGTGCCATTTTAACAGAAATTAGCTTGAATTGTTAATGTATGTTTTGCTATTTTACTGGTTTTATGAGGATTTATTTTATTGGCACGTCTTATATGATAAATGATATTAGACTTGATGCAATGTAATTTATGTTCCAGGCTTGATGAAAAGTGTGAAACATTAATAAAATAAATTTGTTATCATTTACTATCATTTTGTTTAATTTAGGTATAAAATAAATCAGTACAAGTAAAACTTCACTGGAAGTGGTTGGGGAGGAGAAATTGGCGGGAGCACCAGGTGTATAGTTTGCTTAGGGTGCCAATTCCTCTTATGCTGGCACTGTTGTCTTCTTCTGTTTCTCTAATTCCATCACTTAACCTCTTGCTGTCATAGTAGCTCAAACATTACTACTCAATTCAGAACATTCATCTTTCTCATCCCATCCATACCTACACCTCTTCATAGATGCCTCTTTAGCTGGGTGGGGTGCAGTTCTAGATAACTTCACCATTTTCTGTGTTTGGTCTTCTGTGAAATAATATTTCCACATCAACCTCCTTGAGATATGGGCACTTCAATGGACCTGCCATCATTTTTTGTTATAGCTGCCTGGACATCTTGTTTTGATCTATTTCATCAATTCCAATGTCATTTCTTACTTCAAATAATACGGAGGTACTTGCTCTTGGGATTTCTACATATTTTTAATGAGGTTCATTTTTGTGCTAATGACAACAACATCTGGACTTTGGCTTTTCATGTTCAGGGAGCTTTGAATTTAATGGCAAATTGGGTGTTTTACCTGGACCAAATCATTCAGATAGAGTGGTTCTTGATCTCCTAGTGTTTCTGTGGATTTGTTACCACTTTGGAAGCCCTCTTATTGATGCATTTTCAACTCCACTCTACACCAAACTTCCACTTTTTTTTTAACCATCAGTCCCAGACTTCATGGACCTGATAGTTTTTCCCTTTGAGCTTGGAGTGATCCACCTTCTTTTTGTATGCTTATCCTTGTGTTCATCTTCTTCTCATGGTGTTCTTGTAAATCACAGCACTCTTGGCCAAATTTTTCTCACTCTCCTTCTTTGACTAGCTCAATTGTGATTTTGCTCCTTCATCTCATGGCGATTGTTAAGTCTCAGTGTTTCCCAGCTTGGAGGTCCCTTTTTTTTTACCTTAGCTTCAGAATCCATCTTTCATCATGATATTCCACACCTTTATTTTCACATGTATTTTGTCTGGTACCTTGTAAGATGGACAGGTTTTCTAACTCACTCTTGTTGGCCTTGGAATATATCACAACAAGTTAATAATTAATGGAAGCTGGTTCATTTACCACTTTGTTCCTCCAGGTTGTCTGATTATTTCTCATCTCACTTCCTTTATTACCTGGTTTTTAAGAGTGTACTACCCATTTCTATAATCACCAGTTACTGTGTGGCTTCACTGGCCATTCTCCTTTTCTTTCTGTGGTCCTTATGCACCTTTTAAAAGCCATTCTAATCAGTCATTGTCCTTATCAAGTTCATCTTCTGGACTAGGACCTCAGTTTAGTTCTCAGGGCTCTTACATGTTCTCCATTTGAACCTTTGGTCACTTGTTCCCTGTACCATCTTTCTTATGAGACATATATTTTTCTCTTTCTCACTTGTGAGAGACATGGTACTGGTATTTTTTGCATTCGATGGCTCTCACATTCTCTACCACAGTGATATGCTGATTTGTTTCTCAAACTGCTCCTCCTTCCCCAAGATTTGAGTTGTTTCGGAGAGTGATTTGATGTTTTCTCCAATCACCTTCTTGTCTCTTTCTTATCTGTACAATTATTTAGACCCCAACAGTCTCCTTTGTACAGTTTGAACAGTTCCCTGTTATCTCACTTGCAATGCTCCTTTTCAACACTGTCCTTTTATTTATTTATTTTTTGCTGTGTGATTTCTATTTTTATGACTTATCTCCTTCTACCTTGACTGGTTGGATTAAACAATTCATCCAGCTTAACTATTCCTCTATGGGTGTTGACTCTCACACCTGGCCATTGACATCCTCTGGATGTGATATTGCAAGAGGGATGTGGATAACCCTAACACCTTTGTATCACATTACTTATACCACATTGCAGTTTCTTCTTCCTCCAATCAACATTCTCCAGTCTTTAGAGAGACTGAAAAGGTGAATTGTTTATTATTTCTTTTGTCTCGCAGATTCCACACACAAAAAAAAGTAAACAGCCTCAAGTACAATATATATATATATATATATATATATATATATGTGTGTGTGTATGTATATACTGTAGGCCATTCCTACACTAAGAAACAGACCATTCCTGGTGGCTGCAACCAACCAGATGGGTCTTATGTTCTTCTCAGGATGCAGATCTGGGATGATTCATTCCTGCACCTGGCACTTCTCTAGATATTCCATGTAAGTATTTTCTCTCGTGCTTTACAGCTTGACCTATTACCCTAGTCATACTACACGTATATAGTTTTCTGACCTTCGCAACTATGTGGGTTGGTTGAGCAACCTTTACATTCCATCCACCTTTAGCAACATTTTATCGTCATGCAGTTAATTTATTTAATTTTCTGCACTACCATATGTATTACAGAAGAGTGTTCCTGCTTGAGATGAATGTGTTTTTCACGAAGTTGTGCAGTAGTGCTAGGTATTAGCTATATGGTATGTGGAAAGATGAGTATCTATTGGAAATGCATTTGCAGGTAAATAAAATGTTAACTTTCACTTTTCCATAATTTGAAAAGAAAATACTTTTAATCAGCTAAATTTTCTCAACATTTTTATAAATGTGTCTAGTTAGTTGATACCCTCAGAAACAGGGTGTGAAAGATCGTAATCCTCTATTTTAGACAATGGTTACATGCTAAAACAATTTTTCATTGTGGCTTATACTTATTTGACTGTCTTGTATCATTGTTCTCCAAGTATAAGAAGTGGTACAGAAACTTCTACAGACTGCTATGAGGGGGAGGACGTTTATCTCTCATAAATATTTATAATGGGAATGATCATTGATGTAGGTAATCTAGGATTGTTAAGTATCACATTTAATATCATTATTGTTGCTCATTTCTTCATCCAGTAAAAAAGTGTTTTTCATTGCTTCATCAGACAAAATTCAGTATACACTAAACAAAGCTCCTCCAGCAAAGATCCCTGGTTTCATTGTGTGTTGAATAAGGACTTTACTTTTCTAGTTTATTCACTTACATTTGTTGATTTTTCCTTTGTTATCCATGTTACTTTTATTCTTTTGCAAAACATTTTATGAATCTGCTGCATATTGCAGATATTTATACTTTACCTGTTGGACATAAATTTACCTAAATAATACATGCATATGTAAACATCTTCTGAATTACAGTTAAACTGCCTATGAAATATTTTTGGTGAAAAGTTATTAGTGCATTAATCCTTTCGCCCCGGGTAGGTTAAAGTGCACATGTCACGACATTTCGGAGCGTTATTTTCAAAATTTTATTAAATAACATTTCTACTACTTACATCAATGAAATTGGCATCAAAATTTAGTTTATAATTTAAATTTTGATATTATGTATATGTTTTAATTTCTTAATTTAAAAGGAAATGTAAAGAAAAAATGTTAAATATTGATTTTGTGTGTCACATAACACGTCCAGTTGTCTTATTGTTCAGTTGCCATTTTATTATGCCCACCATACAACATGTATAAGTAGCTAATGAATTAGACACTTGAATTTGAAATATAGACAAGCTAAATATAAAATAAGAACCTTCCTCCTCTATGATTTGCTCAGATAGCAATATTTTAGCGAGTCTACTAGAGTGGCTCCTCCCACTGC